GGAGCTCCGGTGGCACTGTGGTTCAACCATTGGCCTGCTAACCAGAAGGTTGGCAGTTGGAACCTACCAGCCTCTCCACAGAAAAAGATGAAGCAGCCTGCTTCTGTAAAGATTTATAGCCTTGGAAACTCTCTGGGGGCAGTCCTCTGTCCTGTGGGGTCACTATGAGTTGGAGTTGACTCCATGGTAGTGTGTTCGGTTTGTTTACCAGGAGCCCTACTGTGTGTAGGGGGGTTTCTGTCTCTTGTTGGGCGATGCCTGGCATTTGGCTCTGATGAGGATGCACTGCTCTGCATGGCCTTGCAGGACAGGTACTGCTCAGGGCCTAGTGTGTTCTTGACTATTGATACATGATGCCAGAGCTTTATAGAACATTCCTTATCTCACTGCATTAGACTTGTTCTGGCTGCAAGTGACAGCAACCCCTTCAAACTGACTTAGCAAACAAAGAAGGATATTAATTCACTTGAATGGGAAATCTAGGGGTTAGGTTGGATTAAGGGACTGCAATAGAGTTTGACAAACATCTACCATTTTCATCACAGCTTCTATCTGGAGGTGTCTTTCCCATGTGAGCTCTTTTTAGCTGATAGGGAAAGTGGCCCCAGGCAGCTCCAGGTTCACGTGGCTCTTAGAGTTCCCACTCTAGAGCAAAGATCAGCAGGTTTCTCCTGTAAATGGCCAGATAGTAAATATTTTAGACCGTGTGGGCCTTAAGGCTCTGTCGTAGTCACTCAGCTCTCCTGCTGTAGTTTGAAAGCAGCCACAAATAATATGTAAGCAATTAGATGTGGCCGTGTATCAATAAAACGTTATTTATCAAAGCAGGTGACAGGCCTGATTTGGCCCACAGATAGTTTGCTGACCCCATCTAGAAGAATAGAGGGCCTCTGACCCCACTAGAAGAATAGAGGGCCTCTGTCCCAGTGGTTCACGTAGAACTTGGAGGAGAACCCTGTGGTCCAGAGCAGAGACTAGGGTGGATCAAGTGATGCACTTTCTGGGTATAATATTTAAGGGAGTACCAAAAAAACTCAGCAGTTGAGGTAAATATTTTCATGCAGTGTTTTAAAAATCAAAATTAGTGGAAAAAAAAAATCACAAGAGAATATCAGGATGTTACATGATTCGACAGGGCTGGGATCACAATGAGGTGAGTGATGTGGTGTGTGGCCAGGTGTGGCCGCCCACCTCGGACAGGTAGTGCTGCAGGCAGCTTCATGAAGGAACCAGATGGCATATGTTTCTCATAGAACAGAAGGTGCTTTTGGCCTGTGTCAGTGCCTTGGCTTTTGGTTCCAGTGTAATATGACATTAATCGCTGTTTTTCACCGAGCACCAATTCTACGCCAGTTATGTTAATAACAACCATTATGCTGTTGTTAGGTGCTGCTGAGTTGGCTCTGACTCCCGGCGACCCTGTGTCTGAATGAATGAACTGCCTGGTCCTGCGCCATCCTCACATCCTTGCAGTGCGTGAGCCGTTGTTGCAGCCGCTGTGTAATAAGTGTAGCTGGCATTTCTTGACTGCATTTATTGGAAGCCCTGAACGTATATTCATATAGTCTCAGTTTTCCCTCGTAGCAAACCCTGGTGGGTAGTTTCTGTTATCCTCATTTTACAGACGAGGAAAATAGAGAACCAAATAAGTTACCTAAAGTCACACAATGCCTGAACTGGAATCAGAGCCAAGGTTTTGTCCTGCTTCTGGTCCCTAGAGTCTCAATTCTTGGCATCAGTGAACGTTGAGGCCTATCATACACTCTGCCAAAAACTCTGTGCTGTTTGTCGTCTTCTGCTAACTTTGGTCATGTTGCCAGAAGGGACCGGTTCCCTGGAGAAGGATGTCATGCTTGGTGAAAAAGGGGAAGACCGTCAACAAGATGGACTGACACAGTGGCTGCCATTGATGGGCTCAAACAGAGCAAGGATTGTGAGGATGACGCAGGACCAGCCCGTGTTTCGTTGGTCTGGGAACGCTCAGAAATTTTCCCCGTATAGATTGGTGGCCATTGCTTCTCCGCTTTATGCCATCTCAGCTTGTGCAAGTTTTCATAGACATGCTGTGCTTTCAGGTAGTGGGAGAAACCTGTACAGGGGGTTGGTCTTGTGTGTGTCATGATTAAGTTACTGACTGGCTGGTCCAGGGTGTGGCTGTGGTCAGATATAGTCAGATGTGGTCCTGGCTTCGGAGAGAGGAAAGGCTGTTGTACCCTTTTGGTGGGCTGGGCCCATGGGCTGGGCAGGGGTCACTTTGGTATTTAGGGATTGAGAGGGAGAGTAGTTCTGGGTGAGGTGCCCTGCTGGTATTTTTTGTCAGTCATCCCTGGGAACCTTATCTACAGGAGTGCAAAGTTTGGCTTGATCCACAGATACGCACATATGCACACACACTCCAATGTGTATATACAGTTTTCACCGTTGTTAGGTTGGTTTTGACTCGTAATGACCCTGCAGGTCAGAGAAGGACTGCCCCATAGGGTTTCCAGGCTGTAATCTTTACAGGAGCAGGTCACCAGGTCTGTTCTCCCACAAACTGCCGACCTTTTGGTTAGCAGCTGAGCGAGCACTTAACCACTGCATCACCAGGGTGCCTTGCATGTACATGTAGACGCTGTTGACTGGAGAGGAAGAGGAGGAAAGAAGACAAATAACTGAAGCAGAAGGTGCTTACTGAGCAAGCGGTGCTCAGGCCTCGTGCTGAGCGCTGTACTTGGCTTCATGCCCGTTTCCTCTAATCACCCATGAACTCGTCAGTCACTGACACCCCCCATGGACAGAGGCTGTTACCCTGGTGTCCAGTTGATGGAGATGGGATGTAGTGCATCCTTCGGGAGGCAGCCTCAAAGACTTGGTCCGTGAGCATCTTCAACACCTGGATTGGAACCCAGGTCTGACACAGAGGTTGGCCTTTTCTGTCCTGCGGTATCCGTGTGAACAGGATAGTTTTGCAGGCAGAGCCCCTCCAGAACTGCAAGAGAAGCAATGTGCATTATTGTCAGCACCAATGTTGTGGTAATTTATTATAGCAGCCATAGGAAAGTAATACATCATTACCCCTTACCCACTGTCTTCAAGTCGGTTCTGACTCAGAGCAACCCTATAGGACAGAGAACTGCCCCGTAGGATTTCCATAAATCTTTATGGACGCAGCCTGCCACATCGTTCTCCTGCAGGGTGGCTGGTGGATTTGAACCTCCAACCTTTTGGTTAGCAGTTGGATGCTTTAACGACTGTGCCACCAGAGTTCCTCAGTACATCATAGTGTATGTATATGTACGTAAGGCAGTGAGATTTAGTGGTTTGGGATTAGACAGCTCTGAGGTCCCATTCCACTCTGCTGGGTGTTAACTGTGTAGCTTTGGGTGAGTTCCTTCACTCACCTCACCTCCATCCTTTCTTTGAGTTGGAGGTAGCGTTGGCTGTTACGAAGACAGGGGCCATGTGGACAGTGTTCCTGTAGTGGCTGGTACAGAGTTAAAGCTCATGAAATAGTGACTCCTGTTATTGCTGTTATTATTGGCCACGTGGAGAAGGTGTTCATGAGTCAATGATAAGTGAGGAAAATTGATCACAGAAATATATATACATTAGAATTCTGGTCTGTAAGAATCTGTGTGCATGTGGATCACAAACGCAGGCTGTGAAGAAAAATAAGTTGTAAGAATGACTATTTTATGGGTGAAAGTAAACTTTAAAACTTTCCCTTAAGGCCTTAAATCTGTTCTTATCCTCAGAGCTAGTAATTCAACATATAGAAGTCTCTTCTAAACAACAACGACAAAAAGCCAGGTGCCGTCTCATTGATTCTGACTCATGGTGAGCCTTCTAGGGCAGAGCAGAGCCGCCCTGGAGGGTTTCCAAGGCTGACAGTCTTTGCAGAAGTGGACTGCCTCTTCTTCGTCCCACAGAGCGGCTGGGGGGTTTAAACCTCTGACCTTTTGGATAGCGGCCGAATGCTTTAAGCACTGTGCTGCCAGGGCTCCTTTGGGAGGGCTCTTCCCTGGAACTGGAAAAGAGGACGACAGTTACTTAGGTACAAGGATGTTCATTGCTTTGTTTAGGGAAAAATGGACATAGGTCATATTCCCAGCAGCAGAGAAATATTTCAGTTATGTTGGACATCAAAGCACCAAAATCATGTTTTCAGAGACCTTTCAATGTTCTAGGAGAAAAATGTTCATAATTTAGACAAGAAAAGAAAGCAACCAGTGTAGTATGCACCATTATACATGTTCATGTATGTATGTGTCCATACACGTGTACACGCCCGCACACGTGTACATACACTCTGATGTATTAGCTTCCTGTGACTGTTTTAACAAATTTCCACACAGTGATGACCCAACGTAATGCACATTTCTTCTCTTATGGTTCCAGAGGCCAAATGCCCCACGTCAGTTCCATCTAAAGTCAAGGTAGTGGGATGGTTGTTTCCTTCCGGAGGCTCCAGGAAACAGTGTGCTGCTTGCCTTTCCCTGTTTCTGGAGGCTGCTGGCATTCCTTGGCCGGCCGCCGCCTCGCTCTAATCTGTGCTTCCCTGGCTACTACTGCCTTCTCCTCTTCTCTGTCCAATCCCCCTCTGCCTTTGTTTGTTATGAGGACACTAGTGATGACAGTGGGTCCACAGGGATAATCCAGTGTCGCCTCCCCATTTCAAGAGCCTTCATCACACCTGCACGGGCCCTTTTGCCATGTAAAGTGACCTGTGGTCTCCGGGCCTGGATTAAGATGTGGGCACCGGTGGGGGCTATAACTTAACTTACCGTAAGTGTCGACTTTTATATATGAAAAAGAAAATTTCGGGAAACCAGACCAGAAGGAAATAGTTACATGTTAGCAGTGGTCATCCTTGCATGACCAGTTTGGGGACCCTGTGCTGTGCGCACCTTTCCTGTGCTCAGCAGGGACTCTCTGGGTCTCCCGAGTATGGGGGGAATGCCACCCTAAAGCTGTTGGGCGGCCAGGCCCGAGTGACGCGCCGTCCCGTCTCTCCCCAGAGCCCGTGTTCTGGTTCTACGTGAAGGAGGTCCTCAACAAGCACGAGCTGCAGCGCTTCTCCGCCCTGCGCCACATCGCCTCGGACGTGGGCCGCGGCCGCGCCTGGCTGCGCTGTGCCCTCAACGAGCACTCCCTGGAGCGCTACCTGCACATGCTCCTGGCCGATCGCGGCAGGCTCAGGTACCGCGTGGGCCAGGGGCCCGGGAGGAGGCAGGTACCTGGGTGGTCTGGGCTGGGGCCTGGGAGGAGGTGTGGCAGGCTCAGGTAGCCACGTGGGTCGGGGTCCCAGGAGGAGGTGCGGCAGGCTCTGGTACCCATGTGGGTCGGGGTCCCGGAAGGAGCCAGGTACCGGGTGGTCTGGGCTGCGGCATGGGGGGAGGTGCAGCAGGCTCAGGTACCTGGGTGAGTCCGGGTCCCGCGAGGCAGTGTGGTTCAGACCTATGCTTTGTACTGGGCTGCCTGGCTCTATATCCCAGCCCCTCTACCTGGGGTAAGCCAGTTCCCCCAACAGCCTCTGTTTGTTCAGCTGTGCTGTGGGGATAGTTGGCTGAACGAATGAGAGAATCCTCACAAAGGGCTCAGCATGGCACTTGCATGCAGCAAGCACTCAATACATGTTTGCTATTATTAAGGCTTGGGCTGGGGAACAAACTGTGGTCTCAGGACACGGTCTGCTCTTGATTCCGTGGAAATTTAATTTGAGCTTCTTTCAGATGCCAAGTTTCTTCCTCTTTAGATGTTGGGTGGTTAGTGGCCAGTTTCATGTTCTGTTTTATCTCATGTGCTATGTTCTTCTGAGCTGCTTGTTTTCTGAAGTTAGTCAATTGCTAATTGACTTTTTTTTTTTTTTTTTGAAAAAAAAGGGAAGGTTTAAGTTGAGGAAAGAAGTTGTTTGCTGCTATTAAAAAAAAAAAAAAAAAAGCTTATTTGATGATAAACATACCGTTGATAGTACCAGTTAGTAGAGGCTGGGTTAAGGGCCTGTGGGTGGCAAAGAGGTTAAGCTGACTGTTAGCTGGAAGGTTGGTGGTTTAAACCCACTGAGAGGCACCTTGGAAACCAGGCCCGGTGATCTGCTGCTGACAACCTCATGGAGCGGCTCCACCGTGTGCACATGGGTTGCCATGAGTCGGATTCGAGTCTAAGGCAACCGACAATAACTACACAGGCCAGGTGATGCTGCAGAGTAACAAACACCGTGACAACCGCAATGGCTTGAAACAGCCGCAGTTATTTCTTCCTTGTGCTACATGTCTGTTATGGGTGAGCAGGGGGGTTCTCGTTTCGGGACCTAGGCTGATGAAGTGCCACCTCTACGTGTCCTTTGGTGATTGCCAAGGTGGGAAAAGGAGAATGGGTCCAGGTAAGCACTGGCTCTCCAAGCTTCTATCTGCAGTGGTACTTCCACTCACGTGCTATTGGCCAGTGCAAATCACATGTCCATACCCAACGTCAGGGTATCCACTGCTGTAGGATCAGGGATCCTGTAGGACAGATTAGAACTGCCCCACAGGGTTTCCAAGGCTGTTATCTTTACAGAAGCAGACTGCCACATTTTTCTCCCATGGAGTGGCTGGTGGGTTCAAACTGCCAATCTTCCTATTAACAACCAAGTGCTTAACCACTGTGCCACCAGGGCTCCTGTTCAGCAGGGTGGAGAGGTATGATTTTCCCACAGCAAAAGTAGGCGACCGAATATAAGCCAGTGATAGTATGGTCATTCATGTCAAAAACATGAAAATGCTGTTGAACCCACTGGAGTGGATAACTCAGATCACCATAATTTGTATAAAGATAATTTGTATAAAGGTAGCATGTCAGTCTGTTTTTTTCCTGCCATTTCCCTATACTGATGATGTTTGTGGTCTCTCTGGCTCTGGCTGGTTTCCCTCTGAGAGTGTTGGACTAGACAATGTTTTTTGAATCACCTGACGATACAAAAGGACAGTGCTCAGTCTTGCCCTGGTCTCTGGAATGACTTCCCCATCAGCAGTGCCCAGATGTCAACAGGGAAATTTCACCTAATCCAGTGAGATGTACCTCAGTGCAGTCCAGTAATTTCATTAGGGCTTTGAACTGCTTCATCCTGCTTCGACCTGCTACTGAGAATTTGCATTTCCACCCCAGATTTATTGAATCAGAATGTATGTTTTAACAAGACCCTCAGTTGATAAAAATAGTAAGATTATAGGATGATAAGGATAAGATAGGAGCTCTGGTAGCATAGTGCCTAAGGCACTTGCCTGCTAACCAGAAGGCTGGCGCTTCAAACCCACCAGCCACTCCTCGGAAGGAAGGTTGGGCAATCCTACTTCCGTAGTGATACTGCCTCGGAAACCCAAGGAGGGGTCGCTATGAGTCGGGGCTGACTTGACGGCAAATAACAACAACAACAACAACAACAAGGATAAGATTATCAGAATCACAAGATTATAAGAATTATTAAGAACCATCTAGAGATCTTGTTACAATGTTGATTCTGAGTCAGTATATCTGGGGTGGAAATGCGTGTTCTCAGCAGTGGAATGAATGTGTTCAAAGCCCTGGATTTCACTTCTCTCATTGCCTGGCTGCAGTCTCCTCCTCTGCCTCACCTTCTCACCGTAGTTTGTGGAGCCCTCTCTGGGACTGTGCGCCAGGGCTCTTTAAAATGCCCTGAAGTTCTCCCGTTGAAGAGTTCCCTCTGTTGGCTGGGGTGCCTTGTCCACTTGCTCCGTATTCCCGCAGGAGCCAGGACGACTGATGCTGACTGTATGTGTGTGCAGCGTGGGGTCTGAGTTGGGAGGCTGGGAATGTCTGGACCACCTGAGCATTAACCAGCTGTAGTTAAGGACATACTTAGGTTTCTTGAAATGAGTTTTTCTGAAGGCCTTTCCAGTGGACCGTTTGCAGGTAGCTCAGAGTGGCATCCACCACTGTCTGTTTCCTTTACTTCGGCGGCCTGTGTGTTGCTGTGATGCTGGACGCAGTACCCCTGGCATTTTAATACCAGCGGGGTCACCCACGGTGGAGAGGTTTTAGCAGAGCTACCAGATTAAGACAGACTAAGAAAAAGGATGTGGTGGTTTACTTCCAAAAAAATTAGCCACTGAAAACCTTCTGAATAGCAGGGAACCTTGTCTGATATAGTGCCAGAAGTCCCCGTAGGTTGGAAGGCACTCGAAACAGACTAGGGAAGAACTGCCTCCTCAGAGTGGAGTCGACCTTAATGACTGGATGGAGGAAAGCTTTTGGGACCTTTCTTTCTTGGTGTGGCGCAATTCAAAATGAGAAGAAATAGCTGCAAACGTCCATTAATAATCAGAACACAGAATGTACATTGTATGAATCTAGGAAAATTAAAGTTATCAAAAGTGAAGTGGAATGCATAAAGATGGATATCCTTGGCATTAGTGAATTGAAATGGGCTGGTATAGGGCATTTTGAACCAGACAATCATGTGCCAGTATGCTGGGAATGATGAAGAGGAATGGTGTCACAGTCACCATCAAAAAGAACATTTCAAGATCTATCCTGAAGTACAGTGCTGTCAGTGGTAGGATAATATCCATACACCTACAAGGAAGACCAGTTATTATGGCTATTAACAAATTTATGCACCAACCAATAAAGCCAGACAGGAAGAAATGTAAGATTTTTACCACCTTCTGAAGTCTTCAGTTGATCAAGAGTGCAGTCAGGATGCATTGATAATTAGTGCTGATTGGAATGCAGAAGTGGGAAACAGAGAAGGATCAGCAATCAGAAATATGGCCTTGGTGATAAATGACCCCAGAGACTGCATGGTAGCAGTTTGCAAAATCAACAACTTACTCGTTGCAAATTCATTTTTTTTTTAACAACATAGACAGTGACTATACATATGGACCTGTCCAGATGGAACGCACAGAAATCAAAGCTACTACATCTGTGAAAAGAGGCGGTGGAGAAGCTCAATATCATCAGTCAGAACAAGGACAGGGGCTGGCTGTGGAGCAGACCATCAACTGTTCCCGTGGAAGTTCAACTTGAAGCTGAAGAAAATGAAAACAGCAAGTCGAGAGAACCAAAAAAGGAACTTGAGTATATCCTACCTGAATTTAGAGAACATGTCAAGAATAGATTTGACATGTAGGACACAAATGACCAAAGATCAGAGGAGTTGTGGGATGACATCAAGACATCATACATGAAGAAAGCAAAAGGTTGTTAAATAAACAGGGAAGAAGGAAAAGACCAAAATAGATGCCAAAAGAGACTATGAAACTTGTATTGAACATAGAGTAGCTGAAGTGAATGGAAGAAATGATGAAGAGAGCTGAACAAAAGATTGCAAAGAGCAGCTCAAGCAGACAAAGCCAATTGCTATAATGAAATGTGCAAAGACCTGGAGTTAGAAAACTAAAAGGGAAGAACATGCTTGGCGTTTCTCAAGCTGAAGGAACTGAAGAAAAAATTCAAATCTCGAGTTGCAATATTGAAAGATTCTATGGACAAAATATGGAATGACATGGGAAGCATCAGAAGAAGGTGGAAGGAGTACAGAGTCACTGTACTGAAGAGAACTGGTTGGTGTTCAACCATTACAGGAGGTGGCGTAGGATTAAGAACCAACGGTTCTGAAGGAAGAAGTCCAAGCTGCAGTGAAAACAGGCAAAAAAAAAAAAGGCTCCAGGAACTCATGGAATACCAATGGAAGGTTGCACCACCAAGTGGATGCAATGCTGGAAGTGCTCACTTGTCTGTGCTGAGAAATTTGAAAGGCAGGTACCTGGCCAGCCGACTGGAAGACATCTATATTTGTGCTCATTCCAAAGAAAACTGCCCCAAACAGAATGCAGAAATAAATGCAGGTAGAATTTTTCTGATTTTTTTTTTTAAATTTTTATTGTGATTTGGGTGAAAGTTAATTCAGTTTCCATACATCACCTCACATACTTTGTCTCATGACATTGACTCCAATTTACCGCAGTACGACAGCTTCCCTCCCACTTGCTGAAAATATTTTAAAAACAGTTATAGTAGTACGTAGACAGGGAAGTGCTAGAAATTCAAGCTGGATTCAGAAGAGGGCATGGAACAAGAGATTCCATTGCTGATGTCAGATGGATCTTGACTGAAAGAAAAAACCATAAAGATATTTACCTGTATTCTGTTGACTGTGCAAAGGCATTTGACTGTGTGGATCATAACAAACAATGGATAACATGAAGAATGGGAATTCAGAACATTTATAATTGTGCTCATGTAGAACCTGTACATAGACCAAGAGATGGTTGTTCAAACAGAACAATGGGATACTGTGTGGTTCAAAATCAGGAAGGGTGTGTGGCAGGGTTATTTATATCCTATCACCATATTTATTCACTCAGTATTCTGAGTGAATAACATGAGAAGTTCGACTATATGAAGAGGAACATGG